TGGCACTTGGAACCCTGGCAGCTCTGGACCCGGAAGTTCTGGCACTTGGAACCCTGGCAGCTCTGGACCCGGAAGTTCTGGCACTTGGAACCCTGAGAGCACCGGGCCTGGGAGCACCGGGCCTGGGAGCACTGTGCTTGGCAGTGATGGCACTTGGAGCTCTGGGAGCACAGGGCCTGGGAGCACTGTGCTTGGCAGTGACGACACTTGGAGCTCTGGAAGTTCTGTGTCTAGCAGCAGCAGCTCTTGGAGCTCTGGGAGCGTGGGGACTGGCACTACTGGGCCTTGGAGACCTGGAAGTTCTGAGTCCGGAAGCTTTAGGCCAGATAGCTTAGGGCATGGGAACACCAGGCCTACCAACCCAGAGTGGGGCAAATTTGAGGAGGTGTCGGGAAGTGTAACTCCAGGGACAAAGAAAGAGTACCACACAGGTAAACTGGTCATATCTAAAGGAGATAAAGAGCTTCTTATTGGTAATGAGAAGGTCACCTCTGGGAGTGCCACCACCACTCGTCGTTCATGCTCTAAAACAGTCACTAAGACTATTATAGGTCCTGATGGTCGCAAAGAAACGACCAAAGAAGTGGTAAACTCCGAAGATGGTTCTGACTGTGGTGATTTACCCCATACTTTTGCTGGTAGCCTAGATGATCTCCGTTTTAGGCACCCCGATCTGGGGAGTTTCTTCAGCACTGCCTCAACTGGAAACACATTTCCTGGTGGGATTTTACCCTCGCACAGAGAGTTTGACAGTAGGACCCAGGCTGTGGGCTCCGAATCGGACATATTCACACACTTAAGGGTACCTGAGTTCCCTTTCGGTGGTAAAACTTCAAGTCACAGCAAACAATTTTCGAGCAGTAGTACAACTTACAACAGAGGAGACTCCACATACGAAAGCAAGAGCTATAAAGTGGCAGGTGAGGCCGGAATTGAAGAGGAACATGAAACCCTCAAAGGAGGATATACCACCAAAAGAGGCCATGATAAAGTTCGCTCTGCCAGAGGTATCCACACTTCTCCTTTGGGGAAGCCTTCCCTGACCCCCTAGACTAAGTTCACTATTCTTGCAATGCCTCCCCTAGCACCTTGAACTTCTTTCCTAGCCCTCTATTACACTTTATAGAAATTACACCTTTTGCTTGTTTGTGTTTGGGCACTAGACTGTAAGTTCCATGAGGGTGGGGGCTTTGTCTCTCATGTTCATCTCTGTATTCCTAAATGCCTAGCAGTGCAGAGAATCATCACTCAATAAATACGTGTTAAATGAATGAATGAATGAATCCCTCTGAAACTCGATTTTAAGTTTGTTTAACCCAATTCTTTCACCACTCAAAATGTGTGCTCTTGGAATTGTCACCCAGTTTATTAATCACATTTTTAGTGTGTCTCAGTTGACATTGAGATCAGGTTAAAAACAAGTTATATTACCACTAAATGACGCTTAGATATCTTTGCTGGTTACTTGCTGTTATCAGTACATGCAAGTAAAATTTCAAATCCATTGAGGAAAATCCCCTCTGCAATTTGTGGGTATAAATGCCACTCACTTGCGTAAGTTTCATCCCAGTGTAAGTGCACTCTTTCCCCCATGGAGGGAGGGAAGGAAGGAAGGTAGGATGGAAGGAAAGAAGGAAAAGGAAGCCAGTATCTGCCTTCGTTTAATCTGGGCCATGCCTATCTTTGTAAAGTTAAATGAGAATAACTTCTTCCAACCAGCTTAATTTTTTTTTTAGACTGTGATGATGTCCTCCAAACACATCCTTCAGGTACCCAAAGTGGTATTTTCAATATCAAGCTACCGGGATCCAGTAAGATTTTTTCTGTTTATTGTGATCAAGAGACCAGTTTGGGAGGATGGCTTTTGATCCAGCAAAGAATGGATGGATCACTGAATTTTAACCGGACCTGGCAAGACTACAAGAAGGGTTTCGGCAGCCTGGATGACAAGGGGGAAGGAGAATTCTGGCTAGGCAATGAATACCTCCACTTACTAACCCTGAGGGGCTCTGTCCTTCGGGTCGAATTAGAGGACTGGGCTGGAAACCAGGCTTATGCAGAATATCACTTGAGGGTAGGTTCTGAGGCAGAAGGTTATACCCTGCAGGTCTCTTCCTATGAGGGCACAGCGGGTGATGCTCTGATTGAGGGTTCTGCAGAGGAAGGAACAGAGTATACGTCTCACGCGGGCATGCAGTTCAGCACCTATGACAGGGATGCAGACCAGTGGGAAGAGAACTGCGCAGAAGTCTACGGCGGAGGCTGGTGGTATAACAGCTGCCAAGCGGCCAATCTCAATGGCGTCTACTATCCCGGGGGCTCTTATGACCCAAGGAACAACAGTCCTTACGAGATTGAGAACGGAGTGGTCTGGGTCCCCTTCAGGGGTGCAGATTATTCCCTCAGGACTGTTCGCATGAAAATCAGACCCCTGGCGACCCAATAGGAGTGGAAGGGAGAGTGATCTGTTTTCTTTGTTTAGTGAGGTGGAGAAAAAAGATGAGGAAGATAAAGGAGTTAAGATTCTTCACAATCTACTAAGAAATTTACAGGTGCTATTTTATTATTCTTTGTACTGTATCTAAATGTAACTGAGACATATTACTGCTTTAAAGAATAAAGTTGTGCGAGTTTATTTATCTTGAAAGTAGCTCTGTGGGTTTTCAAATTTCTCTAAGGTTACACCAAGGAACATTCAGTACATCAGGAAGAAGGAATCTGATGAATGTTCCTTCTATAACCCTTACGGGTCTTGTTTTGAGCACTTCTCTCCCCATACCACTCAGTCATAAGGCCATCGTACAGTAAAAAAGTTATTTCACCCATTTTGTTTGAATGGGTTGAAGCCAATATATATATTTTTAAAAGATTTTATTTATTTATTTGACAGAGAGAGAGAGACAGCAAGAGAGGGAACACAAGCAGGGGGAGCGGGAGAGGGAGAAGCAGGCTTCCCTCCGAGCGGGGAGCCCGATGCGGGGCTCGATCCCAAGATCCTGGGATCATGACCTGAGCCGAAGGCAGACGCTTAACGACTGAGCCACCCAAGTGCCCCTGAAGCCAATATTTTAAGTTACAAATCACTGAATAGAAACAATGGCTGGCCTTCATAGAGGAACTTAGCAAATTATGAAGTACGTTCATCTCTTCTGTTAGCAAGCAAATCCAAGAAGGCAGGAGAAGCACTCTTTCCTAATAGAAATAGAAATCTGTTCTTTAAGCTTTTCAGTGAAGACCATAATGCACACTTAATTTTTTCCCCAGAGTCTAACAAATTTCTTTCAAAAACACATGGCATGAGAAAATGGATTTAAAATCCTTTCAATATTTTCAAGTATTCAAAAAACACTACTACTATATATTGAATTCATAAATTCAACATATTTACATGGTCAGTATTTTATCTGATGTATGTTGCTTCTTTGATCTTGGCAGCCTTGGCTCTGGCCCCCAATTTTTGACTCATATTTCTTGCTGGTGAGAACTACCTGCTATTTACACTTGAAAATGTATTAAAATATTCCAAGCGCACTGGGCTCCTGGTACATTGCTCTCATTTGTGTAGTCTTTACTCCTGTTTAACTGCATCCTTTATCCTAGTAAAGAAAGAAAGAGGGAAAGAAAGAAGGAAGCAAGCAGGCAGTTTAGGATAGGGGCCAGGTCCGGGGGAGCAGACAGAAGATGGACACAAGGGCTTGCAAATGAGTTACATAGGAAGCCCCAGCATTCTTGCATTTCCTTATGTGCAATTGAAAATCCTTGATAGGTTTGCCTAGGTGGCATCTGCCTTTGGCTCGGGTCATGATCCCAGGGTCCCTGCTCAGCTGGGAGCCTGCTTCTCCCTCTGCCTCTGCTGCTCCCTCCTGCTTGTGCTCTCACTCTCTCCCTCTCTGACAAATAAATAAATAAAAATTAAAAAAAAAAGAAATCCTTGATACAAATACACCTCCAAATCTTTGAATAATTGAATAAGAACTTTTTCAGAATTAAAAGAAGTTTCATTTATTTCAGACCTGGGAGTTCCATGTTATCTCTATGCCTGCCCCATTTGCACTCACACATATGCCTCCACAGAATTTGAGTTGGGAGTAGAAAGTATTTTATTTTCCAGTGCCGCACTATTATGGGCAGAGTCGGGTCCCCAAATGAAAGTGAGTCTGAATGTGAAAGGCCATTCATTTCCTATTTATTTTGAAGGCTTTGAGTTTCTTGGCAAAGAATGGGTAACCTCTTTTCATTTAATAAACAAAAGCCAATATTAACAGGATCGTGATCATTGGAGATACAGTTTAGTTTTGAGAAAAGACACCAAACATCTTTTTCCCATTTTACCTTTAACCTGTTGCTCTATTTCCCTTATCCCTGAAATTAAATATTAATTTAGCTTCTCTGACTCCCATTCACGATGGAAGCCCACTTTAACTTGATTTTCACTTGGTTACTACTCTCTTGAAATTTCTCTTTTTAAAGTCAACAAGAACTTCATAGTTCTAAATTTAACGTCCTGCATTCGGGCCTCCTCCTGCTTGACTTCTTTTAAAATCTGCTGCTTTGGTCCCCACCCTACCTCTTCAATCTGCATTTTTCTCTTGGCTTTTGATAGACCATTCTCATTTGTCTCACCTTTCTTGGTCTTTTTAACTGGCAGTTCCTTCTTAAGCCACTCCTTAAATGTAGGAGTTTCTCATTACAGTAACATTAATACTCATTTTTCTAAGTTGGGATGAGGTTGGATGCATGTGCCATAAATAAGACAGAAACTTATTTCTTGTTTACAAAAAAGTCTATGGTAATATGTCCTCTTCGTGTCTTCAGGAAGCCAGCATCCTAGTAAAAGTCTTTCATCTTCGAATTTACCTCATGTCTTATCAAACACCATGTCCTGTGGCAATCTGGAAAATAGAGGAAAGACAGAAGGGAAATGGCGTATCTTCTCTCTTTTAAGGTACTTTCTGAAATGTTGCAGATAGCACTTTTACTTATGTGTCATCAGCCACAGCTTAGTCCACATGGACATACCTGGCTTCGGGAGAGGCTCTGACACCTTAACAATACAAGGTTAATACAAAGCTATCCTAATTAAAATTAGGATTCTGTTAATAAGGAGAAGCAGAATACATGTTGAGGTAGGCAATTAGCAGTCTGAACCAGAACATCCTTTCTCACTCTATAAGTTACCTTTTAAAAGATTAAGCAATCATGTCTTTCTCCTGCTTAAGGCCTATCTTGACATTGAATTAAAACTTCCTAGCTTTGCACATAAGCTCTTTCACAAACTGGTCCCTTTCCAACGTCTACAGTCATTCACTGCATCTGGATTGCACTGAATTTCGCACTAGTATCAGAATACCAGATCCTTTAATGAGTCTGTGCCTTTACATATACGGCCTAGAAGCATCCCCTTCATCCTTGAGGATGCCGCTCCGTAGTGTTCCTTCTGTGAACCCCTCCCTAATGCCCACCGTAGGACACAGAACCAGGAATTTTTCTCTGCGCCCTCAAAGTTCTTCTTTCTATCCCCAAAATAACAGTAGATCCCTATCTCTAACATATTTATTTATGTCATTAGGTGTCCTCCTTCTGGCCAGAGCTCAGTTACATAGTGTTTTCTGCCCTACATAAGAATATCTCACCTACCCCGGGATTCTACAGATAGGTTTTAAAAGTTTCTTCAAATATTTCTATTGTTTCTTTTTTTCTTTTACATTTAAATATTTAATTAACCTAGAATTTATTTTAACATGTTATGGAGAAGGTCTACTTTTATTTTCTTGTGGATGGATAGCCAGTTATGCTGGGATCAGCTATTACGGTATTCTTTGCCAGTGGAATCAAAATGCCAATTTTGTTGAATAAGACAAATCTATACATATGCTCTTTCCTGTGCTTATATCTCTTTGCTCATCTTTAAAGTGTAGCTTTTCAGTGAAGTATTCTCCCTCTTACCCTCCACTTTTTTTCTAAGCCAAAAAAATTTTCCTTTCAGTTTTTACTTCTTTTGTTTGTTCTAGGAGCTTTGGAAAGGTCTTTCTTAATTTTGAATTAGTTACTTTTTTAGAGGTTTAGAGTGAGTCATCTTTCTTTTTTCTACAACCCTGACCTCATGTGGAATGAGTGAGTCATCTTTTAACTATTAATTTCCAAGTATTTCATTAGATAATGTCTTTTTTTTTACTTATTTCATGCTTTTGGAAATGAATTCTACCTTGTCAAGTATTAATATTGTCATCACTCCCAATTTCTTTTTCTTTGCGTTTACCTACATCTTTACATGTCACTTTGTTTAGAAGCCTTTCCTGAAATAATAGATAAATTCTGAAACACGTTTTTATTTTTAATTTACTTTTTGTTTTATTGTAGTTTCTCCTTTCTTTAACTCTTTTCCTGTGGTTCTTTCACTTTTAAACTGTACTTCTTAATGTAGAAGGTGTTCTTATAAATAATGAACTTTTTAAAAACCACTTTTATTTTATATTTACCTTTAAAATTTTTTTTTTCTTCTTTCCTTAACTGCTGCTGACTTCCTCATGATGCTTTTCTCCATCTAATGCCATGCCCTCCTACTCTGCAAGCTTTATTTAGGTTAGACATTTCAACATAACCCCTCGTTGAATGAACGAATAGGTAAATGAAGGCGTAAAATGGACATGAACCTGAAAGTTTTGCCATGAAAGCACATGGTTTTTAAATATTTCTGCCAGGGAGAAAAATGATGAATTGGGGATTTAGATCCTAAGTAAGGAATAGAATAAATGTCCAACTGCATTTTAATTTGACATCGAGATGGATGGGTCTTCATCATTTAGCCCATAGCTGTTGATGCTGTCCTTCAGCATGGTACATGAAGAAAACATGAAGAAACTTAATTAATTGCTCTTTTCTTAACTGAAATTACTATATTTTATTTCTACCACTTCACACAAGGTCTGGCACAAAGTGATGACCCAATAAAATGCTTGTGAATTAAGGAATCTAAGTGTTAAGTAGAACTATAAAGGTCATCCAGTTCAACCTCCTCCTACTAAATGCATAAATCCCTTCTATATCTGTTGATGTCGTATTCAATTTTTATTAAAAGAGATTATTCACATTTTGATTCATGTGTTCTGTTTACATATTTGCTTTCAGTTTCTGGAAACCCTTTAGAATAAAGAATTATTTCCAGGAAAAATTATTAGAATATTTTTGATCAATGATTACTAGAGTTTCTTTAATAAAGGTGAGAACATTTTATAGGTTGATTTTTCTAGTGAGAAAGTAGCAGCTTAAGAAGGTTAAATAATGTGATGATAAGGAGCACATCTGGGGATGAAGCTCACAACTTCTTATATTCTTAGAGGCTCAAGCCCCGTAAGTTCCACACATCATTTATTATGAGTTCTAGGATGATGATACCGTAGTTTTAGATAAATGTGAGAGTACAGTTGACCCTTGAACAACACAGGTTTGGACTGAGCAGATCCACTTATATGCAGATCTTTTACAGTACTGTAAATGTATTTTCTTTTTGTTATGATTTTCTTAGTAATATTTTCTTTAGCTTACTTTATTATAATAATACAGCATATAACACATATAACATACTAAATATAAGCTAATTGTTTATGTTACAGTTGGTTAGCAGTAGGCTATTAGTCATTTTTTGGG